TCCTTTGACTTGACCCCAATGATGCACACAAAAAGAAAAGACTGTTCCCCTAAAGCAAATTTCTTCAGAAGAATATGCTGATCACACAGCTATTTTATTTCCCTGTCAACCTTCAAGTTATTTTCAAGGACAGAAAATTCTCTTAGGACTTTAGCTCAGCTGAGTCATTGCCAAAGAAAATTTTAAAAAGAAAGCCTTGTAGAAGCCTCTGCTAGTGAGTGAGACAGAACTACGTGTAATAATTTTTAGTCTAAGAGTCCTTTGTATATTACTGGCTTCTTTCCATGAAGGGAATTATTTATACCATTGCTAAACAATCTTCATAAAACCTGCTTAGTGTAGAAAACAAAAGTACAGAACAGCTGGATTTCTGTTTTTGTTAAAGCTTCAGGAGCCTATTTCATGTACACTCTTTAAATGAATGAGTTTACAAATTGGATCTTTATTGTACAGTATGATCTGAGGAGCCCACAAGACCTAATTCTGGTTCTGACAGACTCCGCAGGTAGACTGGGAACACCACCCACACCAGCTTTTTAAAAGCATCAGGTGCACTTAATTTCTATGTGCAGTGAACAGAGTGTGTTGGCTGCATGTGCAAGCTAGAAACACATTTGCACACTTCAAAAATTTCAGAAAGTAGGTGCCAAACTTTTCTGTCTGATTCCACATCTGTGAAAATGGAAAGAAATGTTAATGTTTGTAAAGTGTTTTGAAGATTCTTGACATCCTGATTTTGATTATGGGCTCTTCCTTCTCTTCCCATCTCAATACTATTTTCCTGGCTTTTCACCTTGACAGTTCACAATCCACCAGATCCAACCGTAACATGGTTCCTCTCTAATTAATGAATTAGACACTCAGCTCTGCACCAGCTCCCCAGTCATCAACTTAAGCATTCTCTTAACCATGTCTTCACTAAGCACTGCTGTCCACTCTTGGCCCCATTTCTCCCTATTTTGTGCCAGTATCATTTGTGCCAATATTTCAATTGTACAGCTATCTGAACAAGTTAGTGACTAAGCAGTTATGCACTCAGAGCTACTACACAAATACAAGAAATCTGGTCTCTATTTCTGAGTTCCCTCCCTTTTCCCCTGATAACCATCTATTCAATTACATGTATTTCAGGCTCTCACATCCATCAGTTTTGTGAATTGTAACTGGTCTTTCCAATAATACACAGCATTAAAGCGGGGTGGGCAAACTTTTTGGTCTGAAGGCCACGTTAGGGAATACAAATTGTATGGAGGGCCATGAATGCTCTCAAAATTGGGGTTGGGGTGCGGAAGGGGGTGCACGCTCTGGGGTGGGGCTAGGGATGAGGAGTTTGGGTGTAGGAGGGTGCTCTGGGCTGGGACTGAGGGGTTCGGAGAGCGGGAGGGGGAATCAGGGCTGGGTCAGGGGGTTGGGACGTGGGGAGAGGCTCAGGGATGCAGGCTCTGAGCAGCGCTTACCTCAAGCGGCTCCCGGAAGCAGTGGCATGTCCCTTCTCCGGCTCCTTCGTGGAGGCGCAGCCAGGCGGCTCTGCATGCTGCCCCATCCGCAGGCACCGCCCCTGCAGCTCCCATTGGAGCATGTAGGAGCCGGAGCAGGGCCATGCCGCAGCTTCCGGGAGCCGCGTGGTGGGCCCAGGACCCTGTACCCCAGCTGGAGCCCTGGAGTGGGGCCAAGCCGCATGGTTCGGCCCCCGACCTGGTGCCCCAGCCAGTCCCTGACCCGGTGCCCCAGCCAGGCCCCGACCCCTCGCCCCAACTGGAGCAGGGCCGAACTGCGTGGTGCGGCTCACGGGCTGGCTTAAAACAGCCTGTGGGCCACAGTTTGCCTACCCCTGCATTAAAGCCATAGAAGGGCCGCTTCAATCAACAGAAGAATTGAAATTCTTTGGCTGCTTGCGAGAAGCATTTTTTCTTCAGTCAGTTTGCCATGGTTTTGTCAAAAAGTTCTGAGTAATTTTCTGCTCAGTGTTTGGATGCCACGATTAATATGACTAGAGAATCTATTCCCAATTCTCAGTATATACACACTTCCTTGGTACTGGGTAGGATGCCATACCTTCAGCTGCACAGCATATAAAGAGAAACATCCACTACAGGAGAAGTCTTGCAAGAAGTCTTTCACAAGACAATGAAAGAACTCACTGTACAAAGACGACCACATCTACGCTGAGAGCCCTCAGATTGGCTGGGAGCAACTAGAAGTATTCCTCCAAAATGGTCCAGCTGATGTTTTTACTCCAAAACAAAAAATAAAAGGAAGCCACAGGTTCCAAACTAGCTCAGTATCATAAGAGATGCAGGTGGGGTAGAAACAGTGAGGGTTTACACAGCTTTACAAGAAAGTAGTGTGCTTGTCCCCCTTACGATGGACAGCCAACTAAGTACTGCAAAAGGACATTTCTCTTTACCGCTCACCTGGTCTTCATAAAAAGACCAGATAGTTTGGACTTACTCCCAAGGAGAAGGTCCAAAATTTACAGAGGCACAGGCTATAGTGCACATTGGTCCCTTGACACTACTCTCAAAACCAGACACTACAACAGTAGAGATGGGGCAGCCCAAGAAGCAAATGCACTGTATACCTACCCAACATGACCTGCAAACACTAGGTTCTCATGGGCAGGAACTGCCTTTCTGCCTTCCATAAAAAAGGAAGGACTGTCTTGTCAGCGGAATTCCTCTCAACTGCTGCCTGCGCACAGAAGTAGCATAGCTCTCCTTCAGTGCAAAACCAGAGAAGTTGGGCATGCAGTTCATGTTCTTCCCTTTGTTCTAATGTCTAGGGGGATAGAATAGCTCAGTGGTTTGAGCATTGGTCTGCTAAACCCAGGGTTGCAAGTTCAATCCTTGAGGGGGCCATTTGGGATCTGGGGCAAAAATTGGGGATTGGTCCTGCTTTGAGCAAGGGATTGGACTAAATGACCACCTGAGCTCCCTTCCAACCCTGGTATTCTATGATTCTAACTAGATTGCTTGGTGCTGCCTGTGCGAGAAGGGCGTGCACCTCTGAAGCTCTCAGGAATCAAGAGATAGTTTTAGATGTTACCTGAATTGAGAGTGAAATCTCTCTACTTCTCTCCTCCTGGCCTTGAGAACAGAGGGTTTGGAAACATGTAGTTGGTCAATCTCCTCCAAGCAACAGTTTGGAGCTTCCTAAGGAGATGGACACACTGACCACACTTAACAAGTAGGCAACATCTGCCAGCTGCACACAACTAGGAAAGCCAATGAAGGGATGGACTGATATAAAATGCAAGACTAAGAATTCTGAATACCTGAATTAGGTTTGTTTTTGTTTGTTTTTTAAGTGTAACACAGATGGAAGTTGAAATTTATATATTCAAGCTTTGTTTAAATTTCTGTAACTAAAGAATACCTGAAGCTGGTCCTAAATGGTTGAGTTCCAGTTAAGTGTCTCTTGCACCTCTTTCCTGATTAAGTGTTGTGAAACACCTCAGTTTGGTGTAGTACATGTTCTTATTTTACAGGGCACAGAGGATAGGTGACTTGGCTCTGGCAGACCTGCTAGACCTTAACCAAATTAGACAATTTCCCTGACCCCCACTCTCATGTTTTAACCACTGTCAGACTACAATGTGACTATTTGTATTATAGAGGGGCAATTAATCAAAAGGAAAGCTGTATTCCAGCCATTTGCTATGCTTCTTTAAAAAAAATTTCCATCACAATTCACTGCAGCTGTTGGGAGAAGGAAGAGACAGGAGAACCCACATCATGTGTGCTCCACATTACAGGCATTGTACATGAACTGAACACCATCTCCCCTGAGGAATATAATACTGGACATGTGAAAACACTCACGCACTCTTTATCCAGATTCCCAAAAGTCAATTGCATGCCACTAAAAGGACAGAATCCAGCCCTTTTTCACGTTTTGCATTATAATAAATCCTCTATAGCTGTCCATCTGATTATGCATATATAAGGTGGCCTGGATGAAGGTATAAGTAATTCAGGGAGCACTGTGGTCTTCAATTTTGGGCACTCCTCAGATTAAGGTGGAAGGAAACCAAGCTCTTGGAAGATGTGGCAGACAAGGCTATGCCTACTCTAGCAAACTCTTGTCATTGTCATTTAAGGAGTTTAAGGTATGACACCATACGCTTGGAGTTGCACCATCCCCAAAAGAGACCTCTTTTCAGCTGAGATTTTCCCCTGCTTCCTCCATCACTACTCACAACGAATATGGAGCACTGCACAGCTTGGTCTCTACCTTTTAACCTGTTTTGCTGCAGCCTGATAACTTATCGGTAACTTGGGCACTGCATACAAAATGGAAAGCTTCTTACATGCCATGGATAAACTATGGCTTACTCAGACATTGTTCAGAAATCAACTATACAGACAGAGAACTAAAGAATTAGAATAGTTTAAATGAGTTTTCTTAAATAGGTTATTAAAAATAGAAATTGCTTTTTTTTATTAATTCGCTTTGGGGAATGAGGACTTTTTGGTTGTCCTTTATATTTTCGAAGTATACAACTTGGGTTTTTATGGAAACAGAAAAATAGCTGGTTGATAACATGTTTCCGGAAGTGCTCAATGTGCTAAGTGCAGTACAAAGGAAGGCACAGTACCTGACACAACAGGCTTGCAATCTTAAAAAAAAAAAAAATTGCTGGGGCAATGAAATCATGGACACAGACAACCATAATTCTAAGGTGGCAACATTTGAACATATAAGTGATAACCCAAACAGCACCATTCACTAGGATCTACATGATATCCCCTACACCAACATTCCAGTTTAAGAAAGGTGCCACAGCTATGCTTTTAAAATTCTCTAAGCATCTATTTTAATTGAAAAATCTTGTTCTCATTCAATATAGTACCCTAGCCTAGGATGATGATCTCACCTCTGTTCAGCCACAGTTCAGTATAAAATAAGTGTAGGGTGAAAAAGCTGCCTTCTGTGCCTGACATTTGCAACTGTCAAGATATTTTTAAGTAATACAACCATTAAATTAAGGTTCTACTTACCAGTTTGATCGCTACATATTCATTGGTATAGAGATTTTTGCCTGTGGAAAAAAAGAAAGACTTTCAGTATCACATATATGACAGATAATATTCCTAGCCTAAGGAGTCATGCATGATAAAGTCTCATTGTGCACTGTAAGTGCAAAGAGCAATTTAGACAATACAATGAACAGACCGAACATAGGTATAATTATTAATAATCCACAATAAGTATTATAGCTCACCAGGCTAGAATAGAAACAGCTTGCACTAATTCAGGGTGGACAAAAATTGATTTAAAAACATTAAAGTTGATTTTTACTTAAATCGGATTTATTTAAATTAAAGGCTTTTTAGAAAATAAACCAATTTAGAATAGATTATGACAAACTACGTTAAGGCCTAAACATACTATCATCTATAACAAATATTAACCAGTACACATCCACTGCCATTTTAAATAGAGTCAAGCCACTCAACTGGTAGAAGTCACTGACAAAGCACATCAAACCAGAGTTTGTTGAAGTGTTAAACCAGCTTTTGAAAGTAGTAGCCTCTTCTGCAAGTGCAGAGAAAATATTTTCTTGATTTCAGTTTATTCAACTAGTTTAGTTCAATAACTACTTAATTCAAAGTTAAGAAACCAATGGGTGTTGAAAAGGAAAAAAATCTTGTCTTCCAATCTAAGAATCAAGTAGATGTGAGAGGATGAGATATACTAATTCTAAAGGTTTCAGAGTAGCAGCCGTGTTAGTCTGTATCCGCAAAAAAAGGGAGTATTAGCAGCACCTTAGAGACTAACCAATTTATTTATTTCCATCCAAACAGAGCTGGACACAAATTACTAGATTTATTTTTTTTACTTGTAATTAAGAAATGCTCATAGTTTTCTAAAATAATAAAACATAACAATTAGGAATCTGAATAAATGTCAGTTAAGCTAACTAATTGCTTAAATACATTTGTATAGACAGTGTTCTCCTGATTAACAAAGAGCAGCACAAAATTTAGTGTAAAGGCTCTATTTTGGTTACATTTACTCTGTACCGCAGTGCAGATTATGGGGATACAAATAGCAAAGAATTGCACTTTAACTGCCCCGTGTGGACGTTGCTGACGCAAATTAAAAGGCACCTACTCTGTGTTAACATGGAGAATTACATTAACATGAACGAGGGACCTTTTAGTTTGCGCCAGCAGTGTCCACACGGGGCAGTCTGAGTGCAACTTTTTGGAGTGCTCTGCAATTCACAGCCCCGTAGTCTGCACGGTGCCGCAGCGCGCACAAGCCTCAAATTGAAAATCAACATGTTTTAACAGTTACCAATTAATGAAAATCAACCTCTCTTTAGAAAGATAACTAGCGTACAAATACTAAACACAATTCAAGTCAATTATTTAAATAGATTTAAATCAGCAAGCAGAAAACCTCGTTATTAAAGTTGGTGATTTAAATAAATCCACCCTGCACGAATTAGCAAGGTACCAAAGTTTTGCAGTTCACTATATACACTGACTGATTTATTACCTGTGCAGCGTTCATGTTCAAAACATATATTGAGTGATGTTCCCTGGGCATTTTATGCTTTTTTATTTGTACCACACCCAAAAGATATGCAAGGCACCTTTCTATAGTTTGTTACAAATGCATTCGCATCACAAGAAACCAAGAGAAGCTACTAAATCTTACTGCTTTCAGAATTAAGTCTCCTCTAGGAGCATGAATCAGGCTAGAAATTATACGCAGTCGCTTTACTGGTTTTCAATGCTGAGGCCTATGATGGAGGTACACCTACCTAATAACGTGACAGGAATACTGCTTTTACTTCTACTGCACTGCATTGGCACAGCACTTGCAGAGACGTATTTTCTGTACTTTAACAACACAAAGACTATCCTTAGAATCTGGAAAGATCAATAGAACTCTGATGGCTGCAAAATGGAAATACTATTGAACTGCCCCAAAGCTGAACTATTATTCACTTGCAGGTAATGAAGGAAAATAGGGCATGTACTACGGCATAGGAGGTAAAAATCAGTGTTCTCAGGATCTCAGAACATGGGGAGTATATCAGTTTTTTTCCATCATAGATCTCACAGTAAAATTGTTCTCATTTTACAGATGGGGAAACTGAGGCACTGGGTGGTGAAGTAACTTGTCCAAGGTCACCCAACAGGCTAGTGACTGAGCCAGAAATAGAGCCCAGATCTCAGTCAAAGTCTAGTGTTGTATGCCCTAGGCCACACTGCCTCCCGTCTGCCAAGTTTTCAAAAGGTGCCATGAAGTCATTTTTAATTAAGAATCAATGGGAATCTTGTTTTACTACATCAATCTAGGAATTCAGGGACTAAATATTGAAAGTGTGAATTTCAGCACACAATAGCAAGCAGGAACCTACATTGTAAATGAAGCAGAGGCAGAAGACCTCATGAGACTGAGCTAGTTTGCAGTATTAGCTTCTCTTGGGTCTGCTAAGCATTCACTTCAGTTTCTACAGTAAATGAGGTATTCAAGGCCAAGATAAGACAACAGAGCTAAGACGTCAAACTTGTCTCCAATTAGCGACATGCTTGGAGCCAGCTAAAAGTTGTGCATAGTGGGCCATCCAAATGTGCTATCATATCTGGAGGATTGCCAGCTACCCACCCTCCATTTGTCTAGCCACGAGAACAATTCTATAACTAACTTTAAAATGCAGCAGTCCAGCTGCCTAAGCTGACAGGGATGAAAGGTGCTAAATGTACTACTAAGCTAAAGGTGCTGCCTCTCAGGGCTTCCACCTGGGATGCCTAACTGACAGATGCCACACTGAGTAATGTTCATTGGTCAAAAACATTTTCCAGAAGCTGGATTTTACTACAAAGATGCATAGAGCTGTAAGTCTCAATCCGTTAAAAAGCCATATTGTTTAGTGCTACAGGAATCACAAGGTCTCCAGAGCCTGGGCTCCAGCCTGAGCCTGAATATGTACATTGCAATTTTATAGCCCCTCAAGCGCAAGTCAGCTGATACAGACCAACTGTGGGTGTTTTATTGCCATGTAGACATACACAAAGAGAAACCTCATGAAATATGGCGTATTGCAGGTCAGTCATGAGCACTCCCAGTTCACTCATGCATCTGGCTGAAGTGATGGCGACTAAAAAGAAAACCTTCATGCACAGATATGACATGGAACATGTGGCCATCAGTTCCAAGGGTAGTCCAGTACATACTGAGAGTATCAGGTTGAAGTCCTATTGCAGTGCGAGTTTCAACACTGGTATAAAGGCCCTAACAAGACCTTTTGGGAATCGAATTGTGGTAGGGTGAGTAAAGATAGAGGCTTCTGTTGGAGGAGGCAGACCCTGCAGCAAGCTGATAGAAAGTCCTGAGGTCCTGGAGATAGTCTAAAATAGCAAGGATACTTGTTGATTCTGGGGATAACTGATTTTGTTGCATCCAAATAAATAAATGTCTCACTTTAGCTAGGCAGCATTTTCTAGAGGAGACTTTTCTGCTGTAATGGAGAATAGTTTGAATGGCTTCTAATCATGAAAGCTCTAGGTCTGGCACCCCTCTGAATCCCAGGCCACAAGATGAAGAAGGTCTAGGCGACGTTCTTTTCTGACCCAGAAGAGGTCGGATAATGACGGGAGGATGGGTTGACATTCAGAGGAGATCCAGAAACGGGAATTGTCTGGGCCAGTTGGGTGCGACAAAAATGTTACAAATTTCATCCCCGTTGTGACAAACTTTTCACAGAACCTGAGGTAGCAGGGGGTAGAAGTGCCTCAGGTGGTCTGTCCAGGATAACAGAAAGGCATCGCCCTTGGAGTCCTGGACCTAGTGCTGCTTTAGAGCAGTATTAGTTGAATTTCTTGTTCATCTGAAAGATGAACAGGTCCCAAGATGGTGTTCCCCACTGTCATTCAGGACGGAACTGCATATCTCCCACTCATGGTCTGTGGAGAGGTGCCTGCTGAAACTGCCACAGAATTCTGTGTAGCTCGTAGTTATGGCGCTGAGAGTGTGATGTGGTTGCTGATGCACCAGTTCCATGACTTGACTGCCTCTATACAGAGAGGATGCGATTTTACTCCACCCTGGTTTCATGTAAAATATGGTTGTCACATAGTCTGACATTATGGATATGATGAAACCATATAAGCGCTGCACTCTAGGTGAACTGCCCTCCAGAAAACTGATATGCATTCTGGCCTCCCAGGGAGACCATGTGTTTGTGCTGAGTGATTGTCCAGGATGGGAAGCCCACATACAAGAGATGCGTCTGAGATAATGGTCATATCGGCTGAGGGTGGAAGGAAAGGGACTCTCGTGCACACATACACCACAGCAGGGAAGCTGTGACCTTGAGAAGGACTATCACCTTGGTATTCATGTTGTCTCTGTCTGATGAGACGGGACCCAGGCCTGCGTGCAACGGAGATGAAGCCTGGTTCTGCTCAATATCTTCATCAATGATTTAGATAACGGCAAATTTATAAAGTTTGCGGACGATACCAAGCTGGGAGGGCTTGCAAGTACTTTGGAGGATAGGATTAAAGTTCAAAATGATCTAGACAAAATGGAGAAGTGGTCTGAAAAAAATAGGATGAAATTCATTAAGGACAAATGCAAAGTACTCCACTTAGGAAGGAGCAATCAGTTGCACACATACAAAATGGGAAATGAATGCCTAGAAACGAGTACTGCAGAAACGGATCTGGGGGACTTAGTGGATCACAAGCTAAATATGAGTCAACAGTGTAACACTGTTGCAAAAACAGCAAACGTCATTCTGGGATGTATTAGCAGGAGTGTTGTAAGCAAGATGCAAGAAGTAATTCTTCCACTCTACTCTGCACTGATGAGGCCTCAGCTGGAGTATTGTGTCCAGTTCTGGGTGCCACATTTCAGGAAAGATGTGGACAAACTGGAGAAAGTCCTGAGAAGAGCAATACAAATGATTAAAGGTCTAGAAAACATGACCTATGAGAGAAGATTAAAAAAATGGGTTTGTTTAGTCTGGAAAAGAGAAGATTGAGACGGTCATAACAGTTTTCAAGGACATGAAAAGGT